CTGTTTGTTGGTTGTTGTCTGTGTTTGCTGTTCATTGTTTGTTGTTGTTGGTTGTTTGTTTTCTTGTGGTGGTGGTGGTGGTGATGGTGATGGTGATGGTGATGGTGTGCTTGTTGGTTGTTGTTCTCAATCTCTACCAAAGTTTGGACTGTGCTCTTGCGTTCACCAAACTCTCATGAAAATGAGTTTGTCTCGCGGGAATTCGACCGAAATTGCACTAGCTACGGGTTGATCAGAAAGCCACATGAGACACAACTGCGAAAGGCTCTGACCACCATCTACAAATAGCCAATCAGGATGATGTTAGAACAATTTAAAACACATATTTATATAATATACAGCTTAATATAGATTAACTAACATCACTATACTATTTTATGTCGTTTGCGGGTACTTCCACGCACATAGTCCTCCAACAGGTCAGGCATTGTCTCTTGGGTTCGGCTTCCGAGCTGATACTTTGCGCCTCGTAGGGGTAGGTAGGGCCAAGGCCTCAGCAAAAACAACACGCGCGTCTTCGACCGAAACGATTGCTCCACAGGGTATGCCAGGGCTGCCGAAAACGAGTCTCTTTTGGAGACACACCCTGTTAATTATCCTAGATTGCTGGAAGTGGGATGAAGTTACTTGTCGGATCTTTATATAACTTATGACAAATATAATGTCAAATCAGAATAGTATAAAAACTATTCTGTAGTATTGACAATATAACAGCCAATGCCAACTTATGAGCCAGCTAGAAAAATCTCTCTGGAAACGGCACCTGTGCAACCCTTTGCACATGTCAGATCACACTAGAGGATCGCTAAAGTGAAGCTGTCCATGTTACCAACTCCCCATCCATGAGCTCCGCGCAAGCCACGTCGCGAAGCCAGCAGCCGCGAGAAGCGCTGGCGGCTTTGAGAGGGAGAGTGGAAGAAGCCGAGTCGAGTCGAGTAGAAGAAGTCTCTTTAAGCCGAGTCTCACTGATGTGTGATCCATCTAAGACCGGTTCTTGGGGAATTTAGACGTAGGATAGCGTAGGGAATTCGAGGATCTCATTGGGCGATATTTTGGGAGAGCTAGCAAATGACCTGACTGGCACCCTAGTACTTCTCAGGCGCTCCCCCAAAATGAATATTCACATGCATGCATGGCTCTTCATGCCCAAACATCATTGATTCATCCACATGTTTAAATGTCAACACGCACCGAAAGAAATCAGCATCTGCAGAATCCTCAGAGCGATGAGCAAGCTTGTTCATCGCCTCGCCTGCTGATCCAGCTCCACCAAGCAAAGCTTCGGGCGGAAGTCTTGAATCCTGTTGCATATGGAGAGTCTGGCTGGGTGGGGACTGTCCTGTTGAAGAACTCGGAAGCACCTTGAATTAAGATTAATAATTACACAGTAGAAGGGTGCCCTGAAAAGGGAATGCATATCATGGCATATCAAATTCTGATAAAATGCATTCAAAGGCTATGTCTTCCGACAAAGCACCCGGAGTTTCGCAGCTGCAACCCTCAACCAACACATTGTGCATGGCTCAAATTGCGTGCGGATTGATAGCTGACCTGGTCAGCTGGTCATTGTTCAGCAAATTTGCAATTGTAGTAGTTTTGTTAGAAGGAAACCCAAACCAAGCTCGTTTGCCGAAATCCCATGAGGTCTCGACATCTTGCGAGCAGACTGCCCAGATATGCCCCCATCGAAGTGCGCAACACCTGCTTGGAACGTGTAGAAATACGTGTCTCATCGTGTCTCCGTACAAGTGGGCTGAATAAATATATATATATAATTATATAGATAGATATTTATGATATATGTATGAAATTGTATGAATATAATATGATATGATAGTATGATATGTGCAACTGCAACATCCAACCATCCTCAGTGATCCTTGATCTTAACAATCTCCTGACTGACTCTCGACGTGGCTTTTGGGTCATGGCACTCTCAACCCTCCAGGAAACCTCTCATAGTTCATAGGCTGCGATGCACCCACTGCTCTGGTGCTCCCTAAGATTCCCTAAGATAGACAAATCGAAATTGCTGGATGTTTGGCGTCTCCAGTTTCATACACTCTGCCTACCAATTCAATATGCCTAGCACATCAGACTGTGTCTGGTATCTTTTCCTCCAAACACGTCCGACCATCCGCCTATGATGAGAACCTCCAACTCTTCAGAGCGTACAAGCCCACAGTAGGGAGGAAGCTGCCCTGCGAACAGAAAAAGCTTCGTGAACGGGTCGCCGGTCGTGCAAAGGGAGAGTCGGATGTACGATGGTCGTACCACGAAAGCGTTTGGGCTGGCAACCTGCAGTGCCACATCCACAGAGTGTCCGTTGACAAAGCGGAAACGTGACCCTGAAGGCTCCGTGGACGACAGCGATCTCCAACGAAGCTGACTGAGGCCTAATTCCTCGGAGCTGATGTTGTTCACCTGGGTCACGAGACAAACTCCAAGGATCTCAAAGGATTCAGCAGTGCATGTGAAGATGGCCAGAGCTTCGGAGGCTGAAGAGTTGTGACACGACCGAACGCTCCGTTATTGAGAGGGAAAGCCAACGGCATGCGCTGATTACTAGGAACAAGGACGCTACTAGGGGCTCCTGGCCGTACTACTAGGAGCAAGAAGCTACTAGGAACAAAGGGCATCGCTACTAGGAGCAAGAACGCTACGAACGGGGCTCCTGAAACTGAAGCCCAGGCTTTGCTCACTTGGCATGTCGTGCGCCGACGGTTCCGCGCTCTAAACCTCCTTGCTGCTCATGTGTTTGAGCAGCCGTCAAAAGTATAAACAACGGCAACTAAACAAATCTCGAACTATGTCTCTCTCTCCTTTGTTTCTTCTTTTTGTTCTCTCTCTTTCTGCGCTCTCCCTGTCATCATGAACTGAGTGAGGAAAATCGAAACGACTGTCACTGCAATTCGCACACACAAGCAAAACGCGGCCAGTTGGACAAAAATTGCAAGGCCATGAACCCGAATCTCCTGTTTTCACGGCACCGACCGAGGAAGATTACCAGGAACGCCTGACAAAGATTGCGCTGGCACTCCTATATACTGTATATAATGCATTATTGTATAATATCTAGATATATATATATGATATATATATATACATTCTTAATAGAACATATATATACATACATATATCAAAAAATTACATTATATAATATATATTATATATGTTATAATAGTTTAATATATATTTGCATATAATATATGAGGCTAGTACGACTAGCATCCAGCACCGCAATCATTCTCCAGTTTGTGCCTGGACAGGCTTGACTTCACCCACTTGCAAGATCCAAAACATTTGATGTGACTCAAAGCTTAGTCCCTAAACCTGCGACATGCACATGGACTTTTAGAGAGTTGAGAACCATGAATTTTGGGCAACGGTCTGGATGTTGTTGGGGTCTATCGAAGGCCCAAATGATCACATAAACCGCGAAGCAAGGTTGTGAAGACACAGAAAAGAAGCATGCCGTTCATCAAACATGTCACCCTTCATAACTGGCATGTTGTGATCCGTCCCAATCCCAAACTCCTGCGAAGGTAGTGCCTCCCACTGCGACCACCTCTGCGTCCCATCTGAGACCCACACTGCGAAGGAACTCGCCGTTCGATCCGGAGCGAGCGTGGCTTTCCGATCCGGTGGCCTGTGCCGTGACGTTTGCTTGGCACCAACCAGTGAAGCCCCGGCACCAACCGGCGAATTCGGATGAAGCAGGACTTATTGAAGTGGCCGTAGCTTCTCTGATTCACCAATGAGCTCCACTTTGGATTGAGCCGAATCTTATGTCAATGTACAAACAAGTTGTTCGTGATTGTCATGAGACCTCATAGTTGAGCGAGTCGCGCACGTGTGCAATGCTGTGCTTCTGAGTCAAGCGTTTACTTTACTTGGACCTCTGCACAAAGAAGAACTGTTCTTCGTCGCTTGGGCGATGTTGACAGGCTTTGGAAGCTGCATGTTCCTGTCCCCCCGACTCCGTCAGGTTTGTTTGTGTTTGCTAGTAGGTGGAGGCCATCGCAAGTAGGTTGGAGGCCATCACTACTATAACAACAAGCTACGTACCAGTAAGAACGTTTGTTCAATTCCTTTTTGGGGGCTCTCTTCGCCACTCCATTTGGCCTCGCCACTCGTCTTTCCTCGCCTCGCTCCCGGAGACCGGGCAGCTCGCTGGGGAGCGTCCGGCGCGGAGGCCGTGCGAGCTGGGAACTCCATGACATCGGGTGCTCCGTGGGTTCTCCACACGGAGAATGGTCGCAGTCACTTCTTGGAAGAAGTTACTTCTGTAAAGGTATTTCACATAGAGTCACTTCTTGACATGTTGACGTGCCATAGCAGCCATCTTCTCCAGAATATCTTGAGATTAGGCTGAAAACTCCTTTGGAGATGAGGAAGATCTGCAGTTTGAAAAGCCTGAGGCTCGAGCAAAGTGAAGGCTCCAAGCATGCTGCGAAATGTCGAGTCATGGTCAAGAGTCAAGAATGAATCAAACATAAATGAGAACCCTGCAAACAAAACAATTGAGTAGCACTATCATTACACTATTCTATATATACATATATCCATATTATATTTATATTTGTTTTAATAATCATATAAAACTACTGTAACATCTTGTAGTTATTGTGGGTTTGGTCCTGTACTTGTCTCTATCACCAAACACAGAACAACTGTATTGGCCCTGGGCTCTGGGAGCTGTGAAGGCCCTGGCTGGCCATGCATAAAGCCTTCAGCTTCCACATTCAACCCGCAAGAAACTGCTAAACTGCTAAACGTGGCCATTCACATAGACTTCTGATTCCAGGTGTCTATGATTGTCTCAATTAGCACAGCCTCCAATGCCAGTCGTTTACAAAGGCACCGCCTCCTTTCTTTCTGGCGCGCACCCGAACTCACCCAGGTGCGACCCACTCAGTGGCGGCGTAAAGATCGCCTGGGCTTCGAGTCGCGGGACCGCCACCGAGACGGTCCGACGCGGTCGCCCATGACGACTCACTCATGACCACTCATGGTACCATCTTTTTGCGCCCAAATCATGCGCACACAGCGGCAGCGCTGATCATGTGCTTGATAACAAGAAGAAGGCCAACCGCGCAATCACGACAAGACGCCTTTGGGACAAAACATCGCTGGGCTGCAGACTTGCAGCTTGCAGATGTTTCATGCTCAGGCCCCAAAGCCAAACCGGAAACCAATCATTTATCTTCAGAGTGGACGTCTGCGCAGGTTCAGTTCTACGTTCACCTAGGTTCCCCGTTGAGTTCTCCGCACTTTCATTGACCAACAGTGGTTCGTGCATCTTCCGTGCCTGGCAGTGCTAATTCGTGTTCGAGCTCTCTGGTCCTTGGAGCAAAAATGGAAGAACTTTAGACGACATGAACACCTTGGAGCCGTAGTCGACTAGTAAAGTGATCATTGAACAGCAACATATACCAAGTCTACTACCTTGACCTCAAACCGCTCAATGGTACAAGCTCGACACAAATTCGCCAAGAACCTTGCTTGTTGGAGATTGGTGGGCAAAACATGCAGGACACGAATGCACGTGTTGCGGAATTCTTGCAACGAGATGAATTGTATTGAATTGTTGAGTCAAACCCTCCTCAACCCATCTCAATGTCCAAACATGGCAGCCAAAGGATGGAGTGAATCTGCTCAGAAAGGATTTCGCCCTTCACTGCTCCTCGCACGTAACTCCTCGTTGGGCCCTCCGACCACTGAGGCCGAGCGGAAGCCGCTCGAGCCGAAGCCTGTGCGATGGGTGGGTGGGGGCGTCCACGGTGGATGTTAATATGTTACAAACATAATCCAAAGATAGAGAATCCACCAAGATAGTCCAAGATACTCGGTAATCATCAAACTATAATATGTCGAGTACCCTCATGTCAACACTCCACTACTGGGTGTAGCCACTATTAGGAACCCTCAAACGCCAAGCAGTGATTCTGACACTATACGGTTGCCAAACCCAGGTGGATGTCCTCTCGGTGTCCGGTCTTTTTGAGCTTGCCGCTATTCATCTCGTCTTTCGCTCGAGCAGCTCGAGTTCGCTGCCCCAGCCGACTCATGTCGCTTCGGCTAGCTATTTACACTCCTGGCTCGACCGCGGGCCTAATCATGACGTGTTTATTCTCGTGCAAGACCCAACAGCACAGCCTGGAAACAAATCTCCAAGCGCGATCAAGCAAGGCTTGCTAGCCAGTAGCTCTGTCCGAGGAACCTCCTGCCTTCGCTGCTCCTTCGAGCGTCGCCTTCGAGACGCGGCGCCTCGATGGCCCCAGCCCATTTCGCCCGTTGCAGGCCTGTGCCCTCATGTCCTGCTTCAGGCTGAGCTGCTATGAGGGTGAGGTTCTGAAAACTGTCCAACTGAGTTGCTATGCATCAGTAGGGATGCATCAAACCAAGTGCCATCAGCACGACCAGCTCTCCGAGCGGATCAAGAATCGACAGATTTGCATCAATCAAGGACTTGTCGACTTGTCTTTTTTGGGGGATCCTGCTGACAATCAACCGATGCAAAACATCACACAAGTTCAATCAAACAGTATCAAACATACGTATATGGTTTTGATTGAAATGCTGATGCAGAATCTGCCACTGAAGTATTTCCCACCAAGCGCTAAATGATGGTCTTGAGCTCGATGACAGCGCCCACGTCGCATGTCGGGTCGAGATCAAGCGAAAACCCACACCCTCCTGAATCTTGAAGCGCTCAAGAAGTTCAGGAGTCTATTTCTGCCATTTTCTGCCTTGAACTCGTCTGTACAAGCCCACATGTACACACCTCCACGGCAGTTGGAAAGTTCCTATGCAAAAGCACCCCGTTCGAGCAGGCTGTCGCGGCTTCAAAGTGCTGTAGATCCGTTTGTCGCCGTCGGCGCCACTCTGGGACCTGTCAGCAATCGGTACGTGAACCTGTCGAAGTTTAGTTCGGAAATTATGTCTTCGAAGTTGGAACTTCCAGAAAGTTGCTTTTTTCTATCATATATATATATATGATGTATGATGTATAGTCTTCAAAAGCAACGGTGTACAGTAATCGGGATGAATGACAACCCCTCGCAAGAAGGATTCCATATCGGTGCTTTGCGTCATTCAGATGGCAGTTGGCCACATGCTGGCAAGTTCGGCAAGCTCGTGCTTTGCCACCAACAGGAAGCACATGGAGAGCCAGGAAAATGAGAATGAAGCACACGGAAAGTAATGAGAAGGTATGATAAGTCTCATCACCTGAATGCTGTCTCAAAGGCATGGACATGTCGCATACAAATATTTGAACACGTTACCAAACGAAGAATGTGCACACTGAACTGAACTGAATAAGCTTCATTCAAAATGCCCCAGCGGCGAAAACTTGAAGCGCCAATGTCCCAAGCGCTGTGAAACACCACACCGCAGCCCTGAGACATTTCTTTCCGTCTCAAAGAACTTGGGGGATCCCACCACGATTTGGTCGCTGATCTTTCAGCGTTAATTACTGAGGTTTCTACTGCTGCCCCGTGTCGAGACATTGAAAGGCTTGAACTCAGGAGGTGGTGTCCCTATGCAAGCGGAAATTGCCACAAAGGGCTTCGTTCGTGATGTGTTGACAGAACCGCAACAAAGTCAAGGGTAATCAACTGTCATGAAACGCAATGCAGTAACAAACCAGCTCCATAGACATCCGTAGACACATCATTGGCATGTAGGGCCTAAGACGGAGACATGTGAACTTCGAGCAATTTCGATGCTGGCTGCCATGAAGGATCCTCACGACAAAGGGCACTTCAGAACATTCAGAAACTCTCCAAAAGGAGAAGTACCAGCTGGCAATGCAATGTGTTAGGAGATAATGCAATGCATCCCAACACTGACCATCACTTAAGAATCCTTCGAACTGACTCTTGTGCAGCTTGTTCTACTCGAACGCATGGCGCTGAAAGCGATGGTGGCCCCGTGTCCAAGAAGCCATCGCTTTACTTGAAGCAGCCTCACTGCGCTCTCAAACCCTAAAGAATTCCGGCTGCTCGACAGAGCTCTTACCACATGCTCTCTGCCGATTCGCCGCTCTCTTTGCTCACATCCCCATCTTCCCCATGGCCAGAGGCCAGTGGCTGAAGCCAACACATTGTAACAAATTGCCATAAGCGGGCCCTTGACAAAATTTCAGCTGCTTTGATGGCCAAGATTGGAAAAACACGGAGTCGTCTTCTGTGCTGGCTTTGCCGAAGCTAGAAAAGAAAATGTCTGGGGGGATATGCCCAGCCGAAGCTGAAGCCCCGCCCTACTCCTAAGAGGACGGGACGTCGAGTCGACGACGACTCGAAGACCCAATTGCAATCTATAAATGGTGCTCCAAGAGCGACAAATGTTATGGCTCTATTCGTCATGTGGGCATTCTGGCGGTGATACACTAAAATGTGAATATCATGAAACATCCCATAATCGCGAATTCCTGGATTAAAAAGAAGCTCCCAAGATCTCCCAAGTGAGTACCTGATGGTGAATGGATTTTGGAGCACATGATGCTATAGTCCTTGCTTTCTTGCACAGCAAGGTCCTCTATGCTGCCTTGGTGGGCTCCCAAGCCCAACCAAAGCAGACCAAATTGGCTAAATTCTGATCACGCAGACATCTTTGGCTTTTGGCCGTTTCTGACCATGCAAGTCTTGGCTTTGAAAGCACTAGGTTGCTGAAAGTGACTCCCTGACGTGCCCATGCGAGCAAACGGCAAACATCAAGCAACTTCATCTGTGGCGAATTGAACCAATGTCCCTCTTTTTGTGCATGGCAAGACGACTTTCGGACATGAGAGTCTGAGAGTCTCATCAGGTTTCTGTCACTCGGACTCTTGCTGCTTTCGAATTCCCACACCAAGAAGCTGCATAGCACTCCGTCCTCGGCAACATCCCGGTTTGGTTCGCAAACGGTTTGGGATCCAAAAGCCTTTTGGCTACAGGAATTGGATCGTGGGACGCACGGGGCGACCAGAACGATAGGTGTTTGCCAATTTTGCCTCCAAGTCTTCATGAGCCTGCAACCCATGAAACAATGTCGACTACCCTACACACACGAAACATCACACAACATTGTATCACTAGTTCTGGGCATCACACACTCCTTGGATGGTCTTGGTAGGTCAGAGTCACACTTTCTGTTGGCCAACAGTTTTCCTCCAAAAAGCTACTGTTGATGGACGAAATCCTGCACCACTTTGCGCACAGTTTTCTTGCTGCCCTCGTTCTCCCTCGTTAACATTGGGGCCACCACAGTGAGAAAACAAAAACAAGTTGAAGGTCCAAAATCCTGCACCACCTCCTCAGAGGGGTGGCGCCAACATTGAATGAGGGGGCGCGGGGGTTGCTATGCGACCCTTCCAGGGTAAAGTGGTGAGGTGGTGCAGGGTTTTTGTCCATCAACAGTATGGCCATGCTGAAGCGCAGTCATGTTTCCCCAAATGCACGTGAGCGATCGCCAAAGCCAATTTGGTAAACTCCATATGTTAGTATCGCTTTTGGGGGTTCGTTATATCGCTTTACAGTGTCGGATGCCTGTCATCATACTGTACTTCTTGAGGATTTCTCTTGAACACATAGCCAAAGTGAAGTGCAAAAAAATATGGACATAAATTCCAATAAACAAGAAAAAAGAAAGAAAGAAAGAGTTTCCCATTTACACAATAGCACTTTCTTCCCCCTTCATTGCGGTTCTTGTTCTAGAGCTCTTCATCTCTGTCAGGCTCCACACGCACTTTGAAAATGATACGAACATGATACGAAAGGGGATCCGCTCATCTAGATCACAGTTTGATCATACAGGGGTATCGCTTCATGTAAAGCGAAAACACATCAAATGATTGAAGAAAATGATTGAACATGATTGAAGTGTACATTGTGAAGGTTTCGCTTTTGGGGGATTCACTGTATCGCTTTACAGGCTCTTTGGATGATTTCAATTGAATATATAGTTCTTCTCACACACAAAGATTTGTGCACAGACCCTTTAGGTCGTTGCTCATGTCAACATGTCAAACAACTCAGGCCAAACCATTCAGGATGAGGAACACATTCTGCAAAGAACAGTGCAAAGGACAAAAGTGCCTGGTACCTGTCGCCTTCACGCAAACCTTTTTTGAATGAGCTCCTGGTTGCATTAACATCTGTTCACTGGTTCACTCGATTTCACAATCTGCGGGAACGGACCCGAAAGGATTCGGCGGCGACTGACGCGACTGTTCGGGTCACAGTCTTCTCTCGATATGCCGATCCCATGTGGCCCATGTATACCCTCTATCTTCCTACCTGTTGTTTCAGCAGCAGGTTGTTTCAGCAGTAGGTTGCAAAAGCCTGAAGAAGAAGGTTGAAGTTGGAAAGTTCAGCATGGAAGATCGACTTTGTAGGGGGCCGATCCGGGTCTTGTGCGTTCCGAACAATGGAAGAAGCATGAAAAGTGGTCCGAACACAAAGTTGCGAAGCAGTGCATCAACGCGACGGGGACTTCTTCCATCGACTGGTTCCCTGCTGTATGTCCACATGCGCTGAAGCCCAGAGATTGAAGCTTGGTAGAAGGATGTAAAAGGCTGAATGAAGACTAAAGCCAAAATTACCGGACTCTGAGTGTAGTAGATGTTACTGAAACTCCGGCAAATTATCGCGGACACTGTAAGACCTTCTTGCTTTGTCGTACGAGAGGTTGTCCACGGTGAGAGGAATCAGAACGTTTTCCCTCCTGCTAGAAATGCACTGCTTCACGAGAAAAGGTAGAAACGCAC